ACTGCAGCCACCAGACTGCAACCTAAAATACAGTTTGGGGTCAGAAGACATTACAAATCACAATAAAACAGGAGGAATGTTAAGTCAAGCAACTGAATCAAGGCACCTTTTTTTAAAAGCAAAAAGTTGTTTAAACATATTCCAGGATAGCAGACACTTAAAAAACCAGATTACAATATATATCGTTTTGCTGCACGTTTTAGTCTATTTTCTGTACAGACAGTCACACAATTCTTCGCCTCTCCCAACTTATACATGCTTTGTTCCCGCCAATCATGTGCTATGTAGGTATGAAAAAATAAAGTTGTATCTAAACAAGTGATTAAAAAAAAAAACTAACGAATGCCACGATGATAACGCTGAACTTGTTTCCCTCTTGAGGGACTTTGGAAATGTTACTGAGGTTCACTTTCCCCGCCACTGAATCATCTTCCTCCATGTAGACAGGCATGAGAAGCCAAAGTCTTCATCAAGGTCAAAAGCCACATGCTACAGAAAAAGTAGCTTACTCCACAGAAGTTACATGAGATGCTTTGGAAGCACTTAGGTTCATTCCTTCACGGTGTTTGCTAGGATGTCAATTTTGGTGGAGCTGCTGAGTCAGAAAATGATAGAGGCCAGGTATGGTGGCTCACGCCTGCAATCCCAGCACTTTGGGAGGTCGAGGAGGGAGGATCACCTGAGGTCAGGATTTCGAGACCATCCTGGACAACATGATGAAACCCCTGTCTCTATTAAACAAAAAAAAAAAAAAAGAAAGAAAGAAAGAAAGAAAGAAAATAAAATTAGCCAGGCATGGTGGATGGTGGCAGGCACCTATAATCCCAGCTATGTGGGAAGCTGAGGCCCGAGAATCACTTGGACCTGGGAGGCAGAGGTTGCAATGAGCCAAGATCGTGCCACTGCACCCCAGCCTGGGCAGCAAGAGTGAAACTCTGTCTGGAAGAAAAGAAAAAAAGAAAATGATAAAACATTCCAGGTGAAGTCTGATCAGAACCATACTTTTACGGCAGGTGTGGTGGCTCACACCTGTAATCCCAGCACTTTGGGAGGCCGAAGTGGGAGGATGGCTTGAGTCCAGTAGTTCAAGACCAGCCTGGGCAACATAGGGAGACCCAGACTCTACAAATAATTTTAAAATTTGCTGGGTGTGGTGGCACAAATCTGTGGTCCCAGCTAGTTGGGAGACTGAGGCAGGTGGATGGCTTGAGCCCAGGAGGTCGAGGCTGCAATGAGCTGCAATTTTGCCACTGCACTCCAGCCTGGGCAACAGAGCAAGATCCTGTTTCAAATAACAAAAACCAAAACCTGTGTTCTTGGTAGTGGAAATGGTACAAGCCCAAAGAAGCTTGCACCGCAAACCCAGCCACCAATCATCATTGTAAAGGCAGGCGCTAGGATACCAATAACCCCTGAAAATTAATTTAAATATACAAATAAAATAGACCCACTCATAACCTGGGAGGAAAAAAGAAATAGAAACAAGTTATTCTGCAATCCTTCCTTATTACTCACCTGCAAACTCCGACAGAGCCAAGAGGTTTACCCCAACACCAGGAAGGAAATGCCTAAAACTGGCCCTAAGTGGTTTGATGTAGGATCTGACTCAAAAAGAGCAGCTCTGAGATCAAGCGTCCTCCTGAAGACTGTGAGTTAAGTGTTATCTGTGGCTGTGTTAATTTTTTTTTTTTTTTTTGGTTTCTTTCTACAGTAAAGCTTAGCTCTGAGAGATAAAGATGATTTGAAATATCACAGCCCCCAAGTATATATAACACTACCATATCCAAAACAAAAAATATGACTTTATACATACTTGGGTATTAACTGTGTAAGGCAGTGGTCGCAAACTGGTGGCCCCCAGACTCAAGCAAATGTTTGGCCCACGTGGTGTTTTGGACATTTTTTTAAGTACTTGCTTAAAAATCAGCAAGTTTCGCTTTTCAAAAAGAAAAAAAAAAAAATCCTGATTTCCAGCTTTTTGCCCCATTTTTTTCCTGCATGGCTGAGCAACGGCCCCTCCTTGAAGGTGGGCACTGCTTCCCCCCACCCCACTTCCCACCCTTGTTTCTGCAGGCTGCTGAGTTTGCGACCCCTGGTTGAAAACAGAACTAAAAACATGTTTCCTAACCCAAACCTCTCTCACACCCTCATGCATTATCTCCCCCTTCCCTCTCTTGCTTCACTTTCGTCTTAAGTCCTCCTTCTCGAATTCTTTGGATTTCTCCTGGTTCACTCAAATTCTCCCTTCTTTCAGCTTCAGTTTCATTTTGCAAAAGAAACATCTCCGCTCAGCCCACGATCATTCCAGGAAGGCTCCCAAGACTGGTCAGTGGGAGTTACTGAAGGATGTCTCGCCGCAAAATGACTGAGTCATCTTCCCCAAAAACATTTTCCTCCGGCACTGGCTGGACAATTTTTTCTTTTTTTTTTTTTGGTGTTGTTACTGTAGAGCCTATTTACACGAGACTATTTGCATATATGAATCTCCAGTACCAAGCATACACCAAAAGTGTGTACATTTCAGATGAAGGACATGATGGAGCCCTAATAAAATACAGAATTGAGCTTAAGTTAAGTGTCTTGGGCAACCATCATGCCTGGCTAATAGGCCATATTATTTCTGTTGTACACAGTACATGTTTTGGTTTACTGAACATTGATCAAAATTGATCGAAATCTCTAAGTTTTGGTTACCATGTACAGAGAACAATTGCTCAGCATGGCATTTAAATAAAACAGTAATATTTTAAAAATTCAAAAATACAATGCCCCATTTATTTTAAAAAAATAAAATTTAAAAACCTTGAGGATGGATGAGGCTTTGGGTAATTAACCAGAAAAAATATATAACAAAAAAGCTACAAGAACAGAATATGTTACCAGATTTATACTTTAAAACACTATTAAAAGAGAAATTCACTGACACAGCTAGAAATATTTCTAAAATTCAGCTTTTTAAAGCTTATACTTTAATTTTATTTTTTCAAGACAGAGTCTCGCTCTATTGCCCAGGCTGGAGTGCAGTGGCGTGATCTCAGTTCTCTGCAACATGTGCCTCCTGGGTTCAAGCGATTCTTCTGCCTCAGCCTCCCAAGTACCTGGGATTACAGGCGCCCACCACCACGCCCGGCTCATTTCTGTATTTTTTTAGTAGAGATGGGGTTTCGCCATGTTGGCCAGGTTGGTCTTGAACTCCTGACCTCAGGTGATTTGCCCACCTCGGCCTCCCAAAGTGCTGGGATTACAGGCATGAGCCACTGCGCCCAGCCTTAAAGCTTTATAATCCTTCCAACTTTATGTCCCCCACTGTAGCAGACAGTGAATACAGCGGAAGTTGTGGTTGAATATGGAAAAATATATATATTTTTTTGTATCTGTATATATATAAGATCTACTCTTGGCATTTATTTTTAAAACTAATTTTAAAAAATACTGTGCAGTTACTATCTTTGCATAAAGTTGGCAAACTGATTCTTTTTGCACAATGCAGTACCTTATGACCTAACATTGATCTCAAAAGCTAGGAATGACCTTTGCGGGGAATTGTCCCCAGGACAACCTCAAAGAGACAGCACAACGTTGCAGCTGTTTCTCTTTCTGCCCCAGGTCGCAAAGGATATAAGAAGCCAATGCAGCTTTGAGGAGGATTCCCTGTAAATCACTCACTCACAATGATTTCCCACAGTCGCCAAGTAGATCCCCTAAAGAAAGAAGGTTCACAGAGCTCCCTCAAAAGAGCTTAGAAATTCAACAATGGTTCTATTCACATAGCCATTTCTGTCTTCCAAATTTTAGCTTTAAGAGTCTAAGGAAGTGCATGTTTTTATTTAGGGGGAAAAAAAATCCCAATGAGTAACACTTGGGCCGGCTGTATTTCCAATCAGGCAAACAGAGGCTGGACCGTGCTGAACTTAAAAAAAAAACAAACAAACACAACTGAGGGCGTTATAAATTTGGTAGGACAAGAAAGGATTCCAGGACAGGCTCCTCCCAACTGCAAAATACACCCAACCTGGTGAAACTGACACCTACCGAGAAAGAAGGAGACAGACTGCTATCAAGGGCTGTCTCCCTTGCTCTTTTCCTAATTTGTCACCTCTGCCCACCACCAGGGGGTAACTGATCTTCAAGCACAGAGTCCAAGACACTGAACTCTAAGTGAAATGTTTTGTAAAACCTGTGCTGGATCCACAGGTCCTTGAAGTTGGCCTCTTGGGACCACATAAGGCTGCCTGGACAAGGAAGAACCGTCAATGGTTAGAGACTGAGCACAAACCGCATGCTAAGCAGCAGGCATTTCCTCTTCATTAGTTCATTACGCTCAGAAAGAAACCTTTGTGAAGGAGTTTGCCTAAAACCTTGAAATTAAAAAGGCTATTGTCTCCAGCCAGGAGCCAGCCTTGGAGAAACACCTTTATAGGCAAAGCCTAAAACACATCTTTCTCCAAAGCCAACATTTTTATGCCTTCGCCAGTGTTGTCTTGAAGATGTATTTGGTTGCTGCTTTGCACGGTGTCTGGCTGGTAGTAGGTAGCTCAATGAATGGGTGTTGACTGACTAGTACATACCCCAGCTTGTGGCCTGCGGGGATGTTAGGCAAACATGTTGGCGACTCTTCAAGGCTGCACACTTCTTAATAATAAACGTAACTGGCCTCCCTTTCAGATGCAACGCTTGGTGCTAGCAATGACCACAAAATGAGTGAATTCATCAGTATAAAGTGCTATTTTCTCTGGAAGTTTCTCTAACCAACTCTCGATTGCCTTTCCAGATGTGTGACCTAATTTTTTGACAATCTTGTCAAACACTTGTGATTGCACCATTTAAAAAATACATTAATATTAATTTGAAGTGGAAATTATGTTCCTCTGAATATTAGCCCCGAAAATAGAATTTCAATTCCGGTTGCAGATAAAGATTCAGATTTTTCTTTTCTAAGGCAATCAGAAACCCAGTACCTAGCAAGTAATTGTGTCAAAAACTTTAGTTTTTTTTTGTTGTTGTTTGTTTGTTTTAATTTGGGCAGAGAGATCTGTGTCTAAAAACCGAAAGAAGAAACTTCCCCTGCAGCTAATTCTTGCTTCTACTGGACTTCTCTAAAAGCCGTATCCTGCTACAGAATCCGTCCACACAAAACCACATTTGAACCAATTCTTGGGGCTGCAGTTGGATGTCTTCCCCTAGTTTGTCCAGAACACTCTAGTGGGTGTGAAGATGTCATATTATATTGGACTGTGAAGTGAGGAAGTGATATTTAAGCCACTAAAGCTTGAGGCAGCCACCAACTTTTCCACTACCTTCTGTAATCTCGCATTTAACTGGCTTCACCACCATTCCCACCCCCACCCAGTGGGAAAAGGTTTAGGAGCATTTGGTCAGGTGGGGGTGCTGTCAGGGTTTACGGTTCACCTTCAAGGAAGCCCTGGGTGCGCTGACTCCGGGGTGGGGGGCACCTGGCAAGGTAGCGGGGACCCCCGTAGGCCCGGAGAAGCTGGGGTAGCCTTTGCCACGTGGACAGCAACCGCGCTGCTGCAAGTTCCCGGGCGTGCCCGTCGAAAGCGGCCAGGAGGTCAACTGGGGCGGCTTCCCGTAGTACCTTGGGCAGGGGGCCCACCTCGGCGGCCGCCCCCCCAGGGCCCAGGACGCAGTGGAAGAGCGTATGGCGTCGCAGCAGGCAGTCCCTAAGGAACTGCACCAACTCCTCCAAACACTTTCCCAGGTGCTCCTCATCCCAGCTTTGTCCAGGGGCCCCCTTGCGCAGCAGCACTGCCAGCAGCGCTGTCTTGAGCACATAGGAGGACAGGATGCGTCCCCACTGGGTGGCGGCCGCTGAGTCCAGCCCACGGGCGCCCAGATCTCGCAGAGCCTTAAGCAACTGCAGGCACTTGAGGTAGCAGGCACCTGGAGCTGCCCGTTCCTGCAGCCAACTCAGCAGCTTCTGCTCCTGGCGTGCTGTATTCACACCCCACAGTGCCTCCGAGCGCAGGCCCCCAGGGAGCTCCAAGAGGAGCCCGCTGGACAAGGGTGGCGGTGGTGGCGCCACAAGGAAGACACCGTCTCCCAGATGGACAGCGGGAATGAGGCGCACAGCCATGGAAAGGCGGCAGCAGCCGTAGTCAGTGCGGCAGGGCAGGATGTGTAACGTGGGAGGCTGTTCCAGGCCACCCGGGGTCAAGGTGACCCGACAGCGCCCCTCCAGACTGTAACGCACAGTGGCCAAGGAGCGCTGCAGATGCGACTGGAACCAGCGCAGCACCAGAGCAGCAGAGAGGTGGCGCCGCCCGCGCACATCCACGCAGAAGCCATCAGCAAAGGGTTTGCAGTCCCGAAGCCAGTGGGCCCCCGAGGCCCCAGAGGGTGAGGGTGGTGCCTTAAGGGCGCACACGAAGCAGCCGCGGAAGGCCGGGGCCAGCGCTAGCTCCTCACCCAGGCTCCGTGGGTCCAGCGCCACCAGCGGTGGGAGGCGCAGTGGCACTAGCACATCGAAGCTGTCGGGCCGGCGGATTTTATGTTGCTCGTAGGCGCTGCCCACCTGGATGAAGTCTCCGCGGAAGGCCAACGCCAGCGCTCCCCCGGGGATGAGGCCGGGGGACCCCCGGGAGCGGCCAGCCCGCACCAGCTCGCCCACGATCCGGCTCACGTGCGCCTTGCTGTGGCCCAACACGTGCGGAGACAGGCGCACCTCGTGCTCGTAGTAACTCTCCAGCAAGATGCTGAGGCCCGGCTCTCGGAAGTGTCTCGAGAAGGCTGCGTGGCCCCCCAGACGGGGAGATCCGGGCAGGAAGCGCTGCCGGACAGCGTGGCGACAGCGCAGGAGGACGTAGCTGAGGAGGAGCAGGACCGCCACCTTGAGCAGTGGGAAACCGCCGTCCACGCCGTCGGGGGGCTCGGCCCGGGCGCCCCAGCTTCCCCACAGGACATGGTAGAGGCACACCAGAGCAGTGCACAAGCCGGTCACGAGGGGCCAGAAGACGCGTAGATTAAGGGTGTAGTGGACCGACATGCCGGGCGCCCGGGGCCGCGGTGGCCGAGCAGCCCAGGGCGCGAGCCCCGGCGGCGCCCCCAGCCCAGCATGCGCACAGCGCCCGGACGGCCCCGCTGTCCCTGTCTCCTCCTCCGCGGCGGCTTCCGGATCGCAGGCCCGCGGGAAGCCGCCCTCCAGCTCGGCCTCCTCTCCCAGCTCAAGTGTTCCTTCCAGCTGCGGCCCGCCCTGCGCTCTCCGGCCCCGGGCCGCGCCCTGTCCCGGCTGCGCTCAGCGTCTGGCACAGCGGCCCTCCCCGCCCAGCGTCCCAGCGCGCCGCCCTCTGCCAGCTTCTGGCCTGGCTGGCCTCCTACCCAAGGCAGCCCTCCTGGCTCTCCCGCCGCTCCTCTCTCCGCGCCTGATCCCGTTACTCGGACCCCGGGAGTTTCCTCTTCCGAGGGGGAGGCGAGGACGCGCCAACTAGCGGGGAGGAAATGCCGGAGTCTGGAGTGGAGCGTGGAGCTGGCGGGCGGGGTCGGCCCCCTCCCAGGCCTCCGCCTTAAAGCGACGCGGGGCGGCGGGAGGGACTTCAGGACGCGCTTGGAGCTGGCCTCCCGCGGCCCACCCCCATCCTCCCTCCCCGAAGGCAGAACTGGGAAGGCCCTGATTCCGGGGCGGTGGCCTCCTCCTGGGAGCCTCTGGAGTTGCGCTCCCTTGAGTTATACTGGGAAGTTGAAAAGAAGAAGGCGCACAGCCGGACTGTCCAATCCTCCCCAACCCCACCGCAAAAGCCATGGTGGCGTGGCAGGCTCTGGCACAAGAGTGGCCCTTGCCGTCGGCCGCTGTCCTCTGTTCAAACCAGTCTTCACAGAGCACCTACCATATGTGTCAGGCTGGAGCCACGGTGCTGGGGAAATCGCAGTTGACAAGATGGACAAGGTTTCTGTCCTTCCTGAAGCGTAAGCCTTGTAAAAATGGGAATCAAAAAAGGGAAGGGACCGGGCGCGGTGGCTTACGCCTGTAATCCCAGCACTTTCGGAGGCCGAAGTGGGCAGATAATGATCATTTGAGGTCTGGAGTTCGAGACCAGCCTGGCCAACATGGTGACACTCCCCCCCCACCACCACCCATCGCTACTAAAAATACAAAAATCAGCCATGCATAGTGGTGGTGCACGCCTGTAATCCCAGCTACTTAGGAGGCTGAGGCAGGAGAATCGCTTGCCCCCAGGAGGTGGAGGCCGCAGTGAGCTAAGATGGCGCCACTGCACTCCAGCCTGGGTGACAGAGTGAGACTCCGTCTCAAAAAAAAGGGGGGGGAGGTGGGGGAAGGATTCCACACCAAGAATACGCTCTAAAATAAACAAAACTGCATGAGGGAGTGAGAAAGTGGTGGCTGCCCCGCTGAAGGGGAGGATGACAGATTCACCCCGGTAACCCCAGCACTTTGGGAAGCCGAGGCAGTGAGCAAATCGCTTGAGTGAGGCCAGGAATTCGAGGCTGCAGTGAGCTATGATCACATCATTGCACTCCAGCCTGACTGACAAAGCAAGACTCTGGTCTCTGAAAAATAAGATAAATAAAATTAAATTAAAATTAAATAATTTTCCCAGTGGAGGAAAGGGGCACAGACAGGTTCAGCTCAGGCAGGCTCAGCTGCCCCCCCACCTCCACCCCCAACACACAAGGTTACACAGCTTTTGTGGAGCTGCACCTTGAGCCGTGGCATCTGGCTCTAGAGAAGTCAAGGGGAGCTAGTTTTGTTTCATAACAAGGAGCACTTCCTGAAATAATCTGATCTGTTTAAATAATTTTCTTTATGCACACTCATTATACCTCCTTTGCTCGCACTGACGTTTAAAGAGAGCAAGGGTGAATACATTAAAACATATTAGAACCCAGCTGCCACCTGGGAACCAGGACTCAAAAGATGGCTCCTGGGTTACTCCCAAGAAATCCTAAATTAGGCCTCCGAGAGCTAAGCAGATTTTGCCTTCAGATCCCATCGACTACTATTAGCTACGAGATCATCGTCTACTAGTCAAGATTCTTCAGGTTTCAAGTGACAGAAACACAGCTCCAGCCAGCTTAAGAGCCCATGTTACTGTATCATGTTAACTGAGATCCATGAGGGGATTTCAGGTACAGCTGGATCTAGGTGCTTCAGGGCTATGCAGACCTGTTCTCCCTTCACTACTTAGCTCTGCTTTTTAAGTGGGTTGTCCTCTCTATAGGTCCTCTCCTATGCCCTTGGCTGTTCTAGTCTAACCTTAAGTGCGGAGGAAAAGACAGCTTTTCCTTTTTTTTTTTTTTTTTTTTTTCAGACAGAGTCTCACTCTATCCCCCAGGCTGGAGTACAGTGGCGAGATCTCGGCCCACTGCAACCTCCACCTCCTGGGTTCAAGTGATTCTTGTGCCTCAGCCTCCCAAGTAGCTGGGATTACAAGGCACATGCCACCACACCCAGCTACTTTTTGTATTTTTAGTAAAGGTGGGGTTTCACCATGTTGTCCGGGCTGCTCCCAAACTCCTGACTTCAAGTGATCTGCCCAACTCAGCCTCCCAAAGTGCTAGGATTACAAGCATGAGCCACTGTGCCTGGCCAGAGAGGCTTGCTTTTCTAAGAGCTGTAGTAAATGCCATGACTTGGGATAGTTTTGGGTCGTATGCTAAAAAGCAAGGGAACGCCCACCATCACACCCGGCTAATTTTTGTATTTTTAGTAGAGACAGGGTTTTACCATGTTGGTCAGGCTGGTCTCAAACTTCTGACCTCGTGATCCACCCACCTCAGCCTCCCAAAGTGCTGGGATTATACGCGTGAGCCACCGCACCTGGCCTAATTTTTGTATTTTTAGTAGAGACAGGGTTTCACCATATTAGCCAGGCTGGTCTAGAGATTTTGGACTTTTTTTTTTTTTTAATTGCATTTTAGGTTTTGGGGTACATGTGAAGAACATGCAAGATTGTTGCATAGGTACACACATGGCAGTGTGATTTGCTGCCTTCCTCCCCGTCACCTATATCTGGCCTTTGTAACCTCCGGAACTATGAGAAAATAAATTTCTGTTGTTGGGTCCACCCAATCTATGCTATCTGTAGAGGCAGGCTAAGCTGAGTAATACAGCTGGGTACCCAACCCTGGAACCAAGAGGTGGAGTCAGCCCTGTTCAAACTGTGAGAACTGTGGGAAGGGGTGTCTCTCCCCCAAGAAAAGTCATGGTGCTGTGGCTGGAAGAATTTGGCATGCAGAGATAACAGCTGGCCACTTCATTTGGGTAACTCTCTTAACCTATCTTTGCTTCTGTCTCCCCATCTATAAAGTGGGGTGCTGCCAACAGAGTGGTTTATTTTTCCCCTGTCAGATAGAGTGGTATGCTATCTCCAACTGTACAGATAATGACAGCTCTCTAGGTCAGAGTTGGCAAGCACTTTTTTTTTTTTTTTTTTTTAAGAAACAGGTCTTGCTCTGTTGCCTAGCCTGGAGTACAGTAGCAAAATCATAGCTCACTCCAGCCTTGAGCTTCTGGGCTCAAGGAATCCTCCTGCCTCAGCCTCCCAAGTAGCTGGAATTACAGGCATGCATCACTACACCTAACTAATTTTTAAATGTTTTGTAGACATAGGGTCACACTAGGTAGCCCAGGCTGGTCTTGAACTCCTGGCCTCAAGCAAACCTCCTGCCTTGGCTTCCCAAAGTGCTGGGATTACAGGCATGAGCCACCATGCCCAGACACACACTTCTTGTAAAGAGCCGCAAAGTAAATATTTTAGGCTTGGGTGTTGTAAAATCTCTACTACAACTACTCAGGTCCACGGTTGTAGCCCCAAAGAGCTGGGTTTGAACTGTTGCTGGGCAAACTTTGGCTTGCATTGGTACAAAAATAATTGTGGTTTTTGCCATTATTTTTAATACTAATAGCTGCAACTCTCTAATATCTGCCTCTGTCTTTATCTGGCCTTTTTCCCTGTGCATATTTCTAGGTCTCTGTATCCAAATCTTCCCCTTCTTTCTCGTATAAGGACACTATTCATTGAATTTAGGGCCCACCTTCATTCATGTTAACTTGATGACCTCTACCAAGACCTACATAAGGCCACATGCACACATCCAGGAGTTAGGTTCTGAACATATCTTTTAGGGAAACACAATCAGCCCACTACCGCAGCTAGAGATGATCTGTCAATGAATGGATAGGACTGTCCCCATCAAATTTATTTATGGATGCTGAAATTCGAATTTTGTAAGATTTTCATGTGTCATGAAATACACTTCTTTTGATTTTTTTCAACTGTTTAAAAATGTAAAAATCTGGCCAGGCGTGGTGACTCACTTCTGTAATCCCAGCACTTTGGGAGGCTGAGGCAGGTGGCTCACAAGGTAAGGAAATCGAGACCATCCTGGCCAACATGGTAAAACCCCGTCTCTACTAAAAATACAAAAAATTAGCTGAACATGGTGGCGTGTGCCTGTAATCCCAGCTACTCAGGAGGCTGAGGCAGGAGAATCACTTGAACCTGGGAGTCAGAGGTTCCAGTGAACTGAGATCTCACCACTGTACTCCAGCCTGGTGACAGAGTGAGACTCTGTCTCAAAAAAATAAATAAATAAAATAAATGTAAAAACCTGCTGGGAACAGTGGTTCACGTCTGTAATCCCAGCACTTTGGGAGGCCAAGGCTGGAGTTCAAGACCAGGCTGAGCAACACAGTGAGACCCTGTCTCTGCAAAAAAACTAGCTGGGTTTGGAGGTGCACACCTGTAGTCCCAGCTACTCAGGAGGCTGAGGCAGGAAGATCATTGGAGCCTAGAATGTCCAGGCCGCAATGAGCTGTGAACTATGATCACACCACTGCATTCCAGCCTGGACGACAGAATGAGACCCTAACTCTAAAAAAATGTAAAAACCAATCTCAGCTTGAGGGTCATACAAACACGCTCAATGTACCTTGGGTAATTAGCTTCCTAGGGTTGCTGTAACCAAACACCACAAACCTGGTGGTTTAAACAATGTAAATGAATTCTCAGAATTCTCAAAAGTGGGAATCTGAAATCAAGGGATCTGCAGGGCTGTGCTCTCTTTGGAGGCTCCAGGGGAGAATCCCTCCTTGCCTCTTGCCCCTTCGGGGGTCTGCAGGCGCTCCTTGGCTTGTGGCTGCCTCACTCTCAACTCTGCCTACAACCTGTGTGGCTTTCTCCTCTGGATCAGAGACTTCTCCTTTTCTGTTTCTTTTATTTTTTTGAGACAGTTTCTCATTCTGTTGCCAGGCTGGGCTGGAGTACAGGGGGTGATCATGGCTCTCTGCATCCTCGACCTCACCTCCTGGGCTCAAACGATCCTCCTGCCTTAGCCTCCTTGAATAGCTGTGACTACAGGT